GGGGGGAGGAACAAGTCACTGGCTGAAAGATGGAGGGAGGGGGAGGAACAAGGACAGGGCAAGGGGCTTTCTCCTATGCGTGGGGAGACGCTGCAAGGCGGCACCGCTCTACGTGTGCAGGCTCCAGTGAGCACCGCTATTGGGCTGGATCTTGCCGAAAATCAGCAGGAAGATATCCACAATGTACCAGATTCCGACACCGCCAAGAGTCAGCAACTTGGCCGTCCCCAGGCCACCCTGGTTCAGATAGAAACGGTCCGCGCCGAAGGCACCCAAAAAGATCGACAAAAGCAGAGTGGTGAAGAAGCTCTTCGTGGAGTAGCTAAAGGGAGGTGGCATAGGGGGAGTCGAGCGAGCGTCAGCTGATGCAAAATGCCGAGGGGGACATGTGTGTGTGTGTGTGTGTGTGTGTGTGTGTGTGTGTGTGTGTGTGCGCGCGCGCGCTGGAGGGGATGCGTATGTGTCTGGATGGCGCACATGACACAGGGGACGTCCGGGATGTAGAACGCATGCGGCCCAAGGCAGTCAACCGTCAGCGGAACCTGGCAAAGGGCCGTGGCATTGGTCACCGGAGCCACCTCGCCCTGGAGGGCATTCAGGTGCGTGGCACTGGCACCGGAGAAGGGCGAAGCCGAGTGGATGACATCCCACCAGGAATCCAGGTTGTGGCGCTCGTAGCGACGGCAGCCCAGACGCTGCTCACTCTCAGACAGCTGCTCATAGTGGCTCTTCTTCACCCGAGAATAGTCGATCATGGTGCAGTTGGCGTAGCTTCCGCCGGCCAGAGTCCCGACAGCGGCCAGCGGACGGAGGGGAATCGTGCCAGTGCCCGATGACGAGGAGGAGGCCGAAGTGGAAGACCCGGCCGGAGGCGGCGGGTAGAGGGGAGTCAAGTCGGCGGCCGTGAAGGACCCCGGCAGCAGGGCCCGGCAAAGGACCAGCGGGGTGTTTGGATCATAGACCACCGCCGTGCACTCGGGTTGGGCTTCCCCCGGGCGGACTGACGGACGGGAGGAGGAGGGTTTGCGCCATTCAGCAAATGCAAGGACTTCGGTCAGAGACATGGGGAGCAGAAAGAACGGCAAGTGTCGAGGCCCTCTGATGTAATCGAAAGATGATACATCCCCACATGAGAGCCATGTTGTCATAGGCACATGCACATGCGCACATCTGCACATGGATGCGCACGGATACACAGATAAGCACACAGATGAACACACAGACACACACTTAAAGCATGTACACATGTATAGACACACACACACACACAGATAAACACACAGATGCACATGCACGGACCTGTGTACACACAGAAGACCAAAGTCCGTGCGCCGGAGGCAGATGCGCGATGATGTATCAACACAGCAGACCCACCCCCGGGCAGGGACTGTGCGATCTAGGCAGGGATGACGAGAAAAGGCCCACCACAGGCACATGCACACAGAGACACACACAGGTACACCGATGAAAAGGCACACACACACACACACACACACACACACACGGGGCAACGGTCGGTACACGCAGCGACTTCATGGAGGGGTATGCAGCTCCAAGATACGCATGCATGCGTCACCGAAAAACACACAAATGCATGATCCGCTGGATGGCGAGGCGCATACATGCGAGGATACATGACCTCGTCCCCAGGGACACACTTTCACAGGTGGGAGCACTGGCAGAAGGGAAGGCGAGGGAAGAGGGCAGGGCAGGGGGGGGGGGCGGGGGGGGACACGAACGACATTCGCAATACATCACCAGCGAAGCGACCGGTCCCACGTAGCCCCTGCCCGCGTTTGCGGAAGGGCGCTGATCATGCGCGCGCGAATGCACCCAGTCAGCACGTACTGCGACAATACTCAACCGTGGAGCCGGGGGCCGGCAACGGGTCCAGGATGGACATCACGGCATAGGGATCGAAGGCAGGCCCCGAGGAGGAGGCGGAGGAGGCGGAGGCAGGTGCCGAGGCGGAGGTCGATACGGAGCCTGAGGCCGACGCCGACGCCGAGCCCGAGATGCTTGCAGCATGGACACCTTCCCCGGGTGAGGGGTCCGGCGCAGCCAACACCCGACCAGCCAGGGACATCAGCACGAAGATGCCCAGCCCAAGCAACAGCAGGCGCCCCAGGCGATACCGGGGAGAGGTGAACTGCTGTCCATGGAGGGATGGCCGCGCCAGCGAGGGTGTTGTGGCCCGGGCCACCATCCGCCAGTCAACCGTGTGGGTTGAGGGGGTGGGTTTGATTCGGGTAGCCATGGGGACACCGAGGAGGAGAAAGAGAGGGAGAGGGGATGGCGGAAGGGGG